AAAAGACCCCCAAACCCATCCAAACCCATGCTTTTCTCACGTTTTTTCCCCAAAGTTCAGCAAGCTGCTGCTGTGCCTGACCGGCAGCGATGTGTTACAACTCCAGAATGTCCAAGAGCACTTAAATGCTACCATAGAAGGGACAACACGATGCCACCAGCACCCCTCCACCCTCGCTGTGTGGCCCTTGGTGGCCGTGGAGCCAGGCAGGGTGTCACGTGGCAGAGGCAACACCACATGTGCTCGCTCCGGTTTTGTCAGGAAGATCCAAACCAAACAGCCTTTCCGAGGGTGCTGACAATGATGTCTCCATTCCCTACTGCACCGTGCAGGAGCTTTAGCTGCCTCTTTGCTCACATCAAGCTTCCAGTCCCGGAAGCCCCTGGAAAGATGGTGAGGGCTCTGGAATGGGTGGGCTTTGCCAGGGTACATAGATTAGCATCCCAGTGGCAGATGCCGTCCTTAATGTGGGCACCTTGTTTCATGAGTGCCCCGAATGCAGAGGTTGGGGAGCACATCAATGGGATTTTGTGCTCTAAAATCCCCAACTCGATGTCTTCCAGGCGGAGGCGGCCCGTGGCATTGTCACTTATCAAGTATAAGATGCTTTCATGACCTGGTAAAAGTTTTATTCTTTATTTAAAATACACAATTGGGGACATGGGGAGAGAGGGCAATAAGGACCTTCAAATTAATGCAGCATTTACCAAAATCAACATTAAAAAACAATTCACATGAGATCATCCAAGTGCCTCCACACTGAAATACTTCTCATCCATAAATCCCATCACCAAAACCAGGAAGGACTCTAAGGCAGACAGAATTGTCTCTGGTACATGGAAACCTCAGCATTGCTCTACTTGACCCTTGAGCAGTTGCAAACAGTCAAGAACGATGCTGCCCCCTCCCAGACCATCTCCCAGACTCCTTTTGGGAAGCCTGTTCCATGAGCAGGTCTCAGTAACACACACATAAGACACGTGGATTTCAACTGCATTTGGGGGTGGATCATCCTGTGCCATGCTTGGCTCTGTGACTCTCTTTTAAAGTGCAAATACAAGTTGCCAACATCCTCACGAAGGACAAGCCCAATAATTCAGCAGTTCCCTCTTTTTTTTTTTTTCCTAATTTTTTTTTTTAAACACCACATCGTATCCCAACGAGATTTGGGGGGTTTTGTTTTAAACGGCGAGGCAAAAATTTGCTGATCCTCCCCGTGGCGAAGTTACTTTCAAGTCAGCGAAAGTTCTTGGCCCGCGATGAAAAGTCTTTGCCAATTAGCGCTCAACAACTTCAATTCATCCCTCCTGGTTCAAGATGAGTAGGAACCTAATAAGGCTGCGATAAAAGGGCAAAAGGCACCGAGTACCCAAAGGGGATTAATGGGCTCTTCCATTTATTTGTCTCCCTAACAGCTGAACTGTTACAAGTATTGACGGTCTTCAAATGGGCCCGGGCGCCGGGGTCTCCAATGGCCATCCCCAGCTCCCCGGCCCCGAGGGGCGAGGGCTTCCCCCTGGGCGATGCCAAAACCAACAAAGCCCCGGGGATCAGGTAATGAAACTTCAGCTTTGCCTCCCCCCCCCTCCTTCTTCTTTGAGATTTATTTACTGGCAGCTGACAAGGGGCAAATTCAGCTGGAATTGTGTAGTCAAGGCCCTGTCAAGCCTTCAGAGGCACCCTTATGTCGAATCACCTTCCTGACTGGCATGTCGCTGAAAAGCCCTCGGCGCTGGTCCTTAACAGCTCCCGACAGCACAAAGGACACTCCAGACAGATGCCTACATGGCATCCTGCAGCATTTTAAAAGAGAATTAGTGGTTTTAATTATGGTCGTCGTATGAAAGGAAACCATGCAAGCTCGGCAGGAGACCTTTGATCAAACCCTTTTGCCAGCACAATGCCGCGGAACTGTGACTATTCCTAGCAAGGGGCCTTTTCTCGCTGAATGACTCACCAGTGATCTTTGAATGCAGACAAGTTCCTCGCCCTCCCTCTTCATTAGCGAGCATTTCTATACAGGCCCTATATAGTGTTCGGAGTCTTGGAGCTATACAATGGGGGGGAAAAAAGAATCCCTACAGATTCTGGCCTCTACTTAGGAAGTGCTGAAGGACTCTGAGTGACTTTATTCATTAAAACAGGTTGCTATTAATTAACTGTCATAATAAAATAAAGAACTATTATTTGCATTTCTTAGTGCGCTCCCTTTAGTAATATGTATAAAAGATGCTTGTAACAAAAATGAATTTATAAGGGAGAAAAAACCCTTCAGAAGTCTTTTTTCCCCCTCTCCCCCCACCCCTTTTTTTTTTTTTTTTTTTTTTAAGGTCTAGGCAGCAGGAGACTGACTAATTATTAGGACTGGTTTTGCAAGAGAACAAATAGAGGTAAAACACAAATATGAAAGTAATTAGGAAAATGCAAAATCCTGTTTACTTGGCAACCGATTCATGCAACTGAGACTAACGAAGAGCAAATCAGCTTTGCTTGTTTGATAAACTTCAGGGTGCCACCTAAGAGGAGCTGATAAAAATTAAACTCTGCCAGCATCCCTCTGCCTTTTAGCCAACAGGCTCAGCAACATCCACGCAACGGCTTCGTCTGCAAGCACCAGCAAATCTCATTTGAACAGGTTCAGGGGGGAGGAATTTCGGAAGTTCCATCACTGTTAAACATTTTCCCCTTTGTGGGATATCTCTGAGCTGAACACCCAGCACAGACACCTCCATCACGTGTGCACAGGATTCACATGGACACCGTACAGGTCAACACCACGGTTGTGCTTTGCTCCCTAAAAAGGCATCCCCTTTCCACTGCTCTTCACACCTGGGAAGGCTTTTGCCACTGGGAAAGTTCTTGTTGTAGTTTCCATCCCTGTTTATTGCAATATAGGATGATACACTAGTCAGTGCAGGCTGCAGGCTGGGATACAGCCCCTCTTTTCTCCAGAGCAGATAGTGGAATCCACAAAAGCTTCCAATTATTTCAAGACTATGCGGCTAAGGAGGGGCATCTAATCAAGATAAAGAAAACCCTCGGCTCAGTATATTTGCTTGAATGGATTTTCAATAATGCAGGTAACAAAAGCATTCAAAAATTGGATTCCTAATGCTTTTCTGCCAGGCTGAAGGACTGGTTTGGAGAAGGGAGAAGAAAGCCAGCCCTGAGAAAGCTGCACAGAGGAATGTATGATATTCCCCTGCTCTGTACAAACACTTCTGCAGGGATTGAGAAGAAGGAAGAGATTTAAGTGAGGCACGGCCGACCTGAAATGTAGTAAATTACAACACAAAGAGTTAAAATGACACCCCTGAACTGCTCCTCTTCCTTCTCACCCCTCTGCTTTGTGGCTTTGCAGCCCAGCAGCTGCAGTTTTCCTCCTTTTCATTGCTCATTTCTCATCTGCTGTTTGTACAGGAATGGTTTATAGCAGTGACAGGGGGAATAGCCATGGAAGTCACACTACAAAAAATAAATCAGAGTGAGGGGGTGAAAAATAAAGGACGTTGTTGTGCAACTGGAGTTAAGAGATTCTTAGATATCAGCTTGATCTTTACACAGGAAGCATCCAATGAAAAGTTGGGAAAATCAGCACTTGGAGAGAAAAAGAGAAGTAGTCCACTTTTAAAAAGATCTATTAGGAAGAGGGGCCACATGTCCCTACACACACCTCAAAACTACAGACCAACAGAGCATCCACCTGCAACACCCCTCACTCCTGCCCACATCCCAGTCTGCTCCTCCAAGCCTCGGGGAAGCTTCCAGAGGTACCATTTGACAACATGAACTTTATAGACTTACTTCTTTCTCCTCTGAAAATTTTACTAGTCCAAATGAAACCTGGCCTGCCAGCAATTTCTCTCCTGCAAAACACTGAGCTGAGACCTCACAGAACCACAGAACAAAGCATGACAATTCAGATGAACACAGCTCTCAGTGACACCACCAGACTTTTGGGTCTGCCTTAAGCATTTGAAATACAGATTAACTGAAAACATTTTGAAAAACATGCTATTTTATATCTTTTTTTTTTTTAAACAAGTAGCTGAGCTCTTGTTAACCAAGCCCCTTGGTTTTTGGGGTAGACTGAAAAGCAGGATGGATTCGCACCTGTTCTTTTGGTTAAAGCCCCTGATATTTCTAAAATTGCAGTTCTGGAATCCCCAGTACCCATGAGGATGTGGCAGAGTAGATGAGCATTATGGGCTCACACAGAAATAGAGGCCACAGGACAGATGCCATGAACCACAGGGAGAGCAGTGTCCCATGGGAGCTGCTCTTGTGTTCCCTTGTGAGGCCTCAGGACCACAGACCCTCCACCCCAGGTAGAGGCAGTGCAGGAGGTGCCAAACTGCTGCCTGAGGAGTCACAGTGCTCTGCAAGAGAAAGTACACGAGTTGCTTGCTCGCTTTTGGAAAACTAGAGCAATAAGGTCTATCCCAAAAAATGTAATGTAATGAAAAAAACATCCCTGCAAAGCAAGGGGTACCTAAAAGGGGGTACCAGTACCTAAAGGGGCTCCAAGAGAGCTGGAGAGGGACTGTTTACACAGGCATGGAGCGACAGGACAAGGGGGTTTGGCGTCAAACTGACAGAGGGCAGGGTTAGGTGGGATACTGGGAAGAAATTCTTGGCTGTGAGGGTGGTGAGGCCCTGGCACAGGTTGCCCAGAGAAGCTGTGGCTGCCCCATCCCTGGAAGTGTTCCAGGCCAGGTTGGACAGGGCTTGGAGCAACCTTGCATAGTGGAAGGCATCTCTGGCCATGGCAGGGGGGTGGAACGAAATAGTATTTAAGTTCCCTTCCAACCCAAAATATTCTCTGATTCTCTGATTATGATTCTGAAGCACCCCTGGGCACAGGCACAGCCAGGGCACAAAGCACATTCAAAATAGGCTTCCATGAGGGCACCATCCCACATCCTTGTCCTGAGGGAAACCCACCTAACCACACTGTCCCGTGACCATAAAAACACAGACACAGAACAGCAAATGAAAAATGGCTGTAGAAAACCTCTTGGCTCAGTAACAGAGGAAACAATTAAATGCTAAGTACATTTTTACATCTATAAAGGATGCTGCACTCATTAAAAAAAAAGATAAATGTTCATAGTACAACAGAATCACAGGTTCCTTTAAGAAGAAAAATTTTCCTTTTTGAAACCCAGTATTTTTTTTAGTGATGAATCTCCCCCCCTGAACCCCCGAAGTTCATTTGGCAACAGCAATCAAAGACCAAACATCAGCATGTTCCTGCACACTTGATTTCCTCTCTGCTGCCAGTTCTGTCACCTTTTAAAACCATTCTCACCTTGTCAAGGACTAACTCAGATGTTAAGCCTTGACTTCAAACTTCCAGCCCTCAAGCAGGTGGGTGGGGGACCGGGCGCTACCCAGCTCCCCGCCTCAGGTCTGCTTTCCTTTTCCTCAGCCCCTGCAGCTCTTTCTCCAGGTGCTTCACAGCCTGCAGGATGTCCTGGCGCTGGGGATCATCCTCTGCTTTCTCGGTGTACAGCAGGAAATGTTTCACAGTTTCAGAGAGCAACGTTTCAGGATCCACGTCCCCCCGACGGAGACGCAACATCCTCTCGCAGGCGATGGCGTAGTTTTTGTGCCAGTTCACCGGGTGATTGGGATGAGAGTTGACAATTTCTTTGTATGACTGTTACAGGAACAAAACAAAAAAAAAAAAAGAAAGGGGGGGGAGGCAAATTAATTGAACTAAGGGGACCAACAGCTCTTAACAGTGTTTCAAAACTGCCCGTGAAGGAACAGATGCTATTTAGAATCGTCCAAGTCCAGAGTCGGAGTATTTCTGTAATTCACTCTGTGTTTGCCATTCAACAGCATGAATCAGAAACCCAAGGGGGGCTGAAACGTTTCCCTTCCGACAGCAGCTGTTTGTTTAGAAACATTACAGATGATGGTGATAACCCCACGGCACATTATGTGCTTCCCCCAGAGAGGTGTTACACCAAGCTGGGGAAAAAAAAGAGGTTTAACTGCCGCGCCTGGAAGACATTTATCCAATATTTCAGGAGATCAGGACGTCTTCCACAGGACTTAAGGAGTCTGTTGACTTGAGAGGGAATATTCATAAGCTCAACAGCAGGCACGTGCCTGAGAACTTTGCAAAACAGCAAAAAAATCACAGCAAAACGGGTAAGAATTAGGGAAACTATTTGTTGACTCTCTGTTGGGGTGTGAAATGCTGCTCCTCTCTGCTGACACACACTGATCACTTCGTGCATCTGTTGGCATCTCAGGCAGTCCAGTATTTCCAGAGATACCTACACCAGCTTATGGGTGTTATTCTTTGGTGTGAAATGCAGCAGAATTAATTTGCACTGAGAAGACTGTCGGATTTTATACTTGCTGGCTCAGACACACGACTGTGTAATGACAGAGGGGACAAGTGCATAGGGGGAACTTCAGGACAAGCAATCTCTTGGCATGGGTTTGGAGCCCAGCACAGACAACATAATTATAGCAAAAGCAGGGTGTTGACTGGTTAGCTTTTGGCATCCTCTGTGACCGAGGGGGCAAGTAGGAATGGATAAAATCCCCGAGCAAATCTCTTTGAATCGGCTGTGCTCCCAGTTTGGATAAACAAGGGGAATGCAGATTACGGGGCCTGTATGGAAACACGTTTCTGTGCAGTCAAGAAATGTAAAAGAAAAGGGAAAAAAATAAATTATGGAGGCTGCAGGGAGCGTTCCTAACCCAAACAGACGACTTACGTTGTATGCAAATGTGTAAAGTTGTGATTTCATTTCTGCAGTCACACTGGCACTCTCCGCAAGGTCGAATATAAAGAAAGCTGTTTTCATCCTGGGAAAACAAGAAAAACTTCCATGTAGTAACTGCTTAATGCAACCAGCTCACATCACGTGGCTATACACATTTTCAGCACGGCTATCCACATATGGGACAGAACCAGCACCTCCATTTGAGTCATCAGTGACACAAATTTCTATCCACGATGTATTTTCTCACCCCAAGCCCCAACTGCTTTCTGCTCCTTTGAAATACTTTGAGCAGAACCTTTAGGGGAACAAATCGAGCACTCTCCCGAAGGCTTTGCTGGAGTCCTTGCACGCTTCACCTCATCCTGCCAGCCTTTTCCTTCCAAAGCTTGGCACACGTGGATCCAATAAGGCCATGCCCCATCAAGCTGCCCGCTTTGGTGTGTGTTTCCACACCGGTGAGCTGGCATTGCCCACTGGCTGTTGGAAGGGAGCAATGGAGAATTACCTGGCTTGCCACATCTCCTCGTTGGCAACAGCTTCCCAGGAAGAGGGACTGAAACTAAATGGGAATGAGAATAAAATTCAGCTGTCAGATCCATGTCACTTTGCTTCACCCACCACAGCCCTTCTAACCCAGGTAGCTACAGACCTCCCAAGCAGAAGAAAACCCATCATGAAGCCTATGGCTCTGACAGCAGGGAATTCAGCTGACCCTCTGTCATTCATAAACCTTATTCCACTCTCTCCACAAAAGGAGCCTCTGGCATATCAGGTGCTTCACAGTATCCCAGTTCCCGAAGTGAGAGATTTTTTTTTTTTACCATGGCAGGTCAGTCTACAACATTTAAACCTTTGGATGTCTCAAGACCTCAATGATTTTAGCTCCTGTTCAAGTTTTAAGGCCAGAAAGGGAGCTGATACTTGACTAGAAATGTCCTCGCTATATTTCACACTAATAAAAGTTATAGATCATAGAATGGTTTGAGTTGGGAGGGACCTTAAAGACCATCCAGTTCCAACACCCTGCCATGGGCAGGGACACCTTCCACTATCCAAGGTTGCTCCAAGCCCCATCCAAGCCCCCGGCCTTGGCCACTTCCAGGGATGGGGCAGCCACAGCTTCTCTGGGCAACCTGTGCCAGGGCCTCACCACCCTCACAAGGAAGAATTTCTTCCTTATATCTACTAAAACACAAACCATCATGATCCTGGCTCATGTTAATTCCTGCAACACTGCAGAGGATGTGACAGTGCTGCTGGCAGAAGAATGATGAGCAGGAAGGAGCAAGATCTCCTCTGCCTCGTACCTGCCATAGTCTTCAGTCCAGTTATAGAGATTCCTGGTGAGACGAATCCACTCTCCTGGGTCAAACACAACATTGGAAGGAACCAACTTCTCACACGTCCCCCAGGGCCAGAGTGAATGGCTCCTTCTCCAGGTCGAGTCACCTTCATGAAGACCTATGCAGACAAACACCTCCTTACTGCCAAAAAAACCCAAGAGAGAGCAATTGTGAAGCTGTGCCAGACCTTGGGCCACCCCATGTCCCTGAGCAAACCACACACACAGTGTTTCTTAAGTTAACAACTAAAATATCCGAAATTGTTGTTGAATTTGAGTATGAAAAATTTCCATCCAGTGAAATCCTCTTTTGGAATGTTTCTGTTCCAGTATTCAAGACCCCAAAGAGAGACTAAGGCAATGTACAAACCTACCCTTGGGGCCAAGCACTGACACACATGGGGAAACTTTCCTGTCACAAGAAGTGGTGGTTAACCTCTTGCAAGAAACAAAGAAGCTTTTGAAAGATGTCACAGGGTGAGTTTGCTTCCCGTGATCTCTGTTAGTGACATAATTTTGTGCATGAAATTAAATCTTGAGGTTAAATTTTTGGTTGAGGTGTGATAGGAAGAAGAAAAGACATTGGTAAACAAATTCTTGTTTGTGCTTTTTTACTGAAACAGGGTCATACTGGAGATTGAGGGCTGGCTTTTACATGTGGATCTAAGTTGTGCAGCACAACTCTTCCTGTGGCACAGACACCTGTCCAGACCATCTCACATCAGAAAGTGCACATTTTGGACCAGTTTGCAAAACAGCTCTTCTGCTGCAAGCGAATACCCCATCTGGCATTGCCCATCTTGTGCAGCCAGCACAGGTGGCACATCCTCTCCCCTCTCCTGGACCTCATGAACATGCCAGAAGCCATAGGAGAAGCCCATTTCTTCCTGACAGCACCTGGCTCTCCCCACCCTCGCCAGGCTCACCCCCGCTACTCTAAATGCAGATGCTATTCTTATTCATGTGAGTATCTAATCCTTTCTCCACTCTTACTAAGCTATTTTTATATGATGATTATTCCTGGAATACATTCATTCTATGCTAATCAGTTGGCCACAATGTTCACAAAGGAGAAGCAGCAGCAATTTGCTCTCCAGCCATCGTCGTTTTGAGTGCAGGGGAACTGTTCCTTTTTCTGTGATGAATTGTATCAACAACAACAAAAGAAATGATCAGTAAACACTCTGATCATCACCTTCTTATTTTTCCCTCCTAAAAACCAAACCAGGCTCAAAACAACAGGCAACATTATATCCGGATGGAGTTACTCCTGCACAGATATTTGCTTTAATTGCAAGAATAATCTCGCCACCAGGGAAGAAGTCAGTGGAGAAAATTGGTCTTTTGGATGCAGTACCAAGCTGTTCCATAAACAATTTGTAGGGGAAAAAAAAAAAAAAAGGTCGAAGATTTTAGGAAAGCTGTTACATATGAAAGAAATGCTTACTGTTTATTTACTTTGAGGAAACGATGGAGATTAAAAGCAAGTGTCCCGTCGGGTAATACTCCTTCCACAGGATTCCACCGGTGCCCAGGAAAATAAACGCCAGGTAAATGCTTTGCCAGCTTGGGTAAATACCATTCATAAGTCATCATCTATCAATAAAAAAATATTGCCATACTTAAAACAAGAATTCAAAGTTTTCATCCCTTTTACATCCAGAAGAAATGCGTTTTGAGGGAGTGATGACTGTTTGCTCAGTGAAGTCACCTCCCGTGCCAGCAGTGGCTGCACCACCACACTGTGTCACCAGTTTGGTTTCTGATCAGAGGCACGTGGTCCTCACTCTAACACAAAACAGCTGGTAAGAGACACAACAGGGATTTGGCTTGGTTAAACACGAGGTTTTGGGTTTGGGGCTTGCCAGCAAGTCACAAACTCTTGTTGCAAAGCCAAGCGCGAGGATGACGTGGTGGCAGAAATGTAGGTGTTCTGTTCTGTAAGAGGTTTTTGGTTTTTTTTATTTTCCCATTGCTCAGTGAAAAAGGAAAGAGTGCAAACATCACCCAGGGACACACAGCACCTCAATCTTAGTGTAAAAAACGGGGACAGAAGTCTGCAAAACCACCAAGGTAACAGAGGGGATGCAGGGGATGCTTGGTAAAGCCCTCAGGAGAAACCCAAAAGCTGCATCATCCACGGGGTAACTGCTGCCCTGCTGCCCTCCAGGCTGATCCCAGAAGTCTTCTTCTGCCTCAACATCTGTATTTTGCGGCAATTGCAGAAAACAGCTGGGACAAACTTCCTCAGCAAGGCAAACACCAGCCCTGTGGCACATCTGGATATCTGCTGTGATGAAGGAATTTGGCTTTCCCATCTCTCTAGCCACTATTGCCTCACTGGTGGCTTTTTGGGCTTGAATGGGCCTTGCACACCATGCTCCATCCTAGGGCTACCCACAACCCTTTTAAACAAATATCAATTTTATTTATTTCCACATCATGAGTTTTATTTGAACAATGAGACCCTCTCAAGGAGATAAAGGAACAACCGAACTTTTGCTTCCTGTTTCAATCTGCCTGATGACTCCTTAAGCAGCACTTTCTGAACCTACCTCCTGGTCCACTAAGGTGATATCTGGCCTCATCCCTTCGCAGTAATGAAGGTAACGAAGAGCATTCCCGGGTAAGTCTCCTCTCAGCAGGATCACTGCACCCATGGGCATAGAGGACAGCAGATTCCTTGCAAACTTGTCAACAACATAGTTGTTGCTCTGATCACAAGCACTAAAGAGAACAGATAAAAAACAGTATCTCGAAACCAGGTATTTGCATGGCTTTGCATATCTTCAGAACAATTTTATGCAAGAGGCAACCACAGAAATCCACCCTAGTCAGATCTTGCTGGAAGTATCACAGAATCACAGAATGGGAAGGGAGGGAAGGGACCTTAAAGCTCATCTTGTTCCACCACCCCTGCCATGGGCAGGGACACCTTCCACCAGACCAGGTCACTCTAAGCCCTGCCCAGCCTGGCCTTGAACACTTCCGGGATGGAGCATCATCAACAACTTAATCACTCCAACTCAATCATCTCCATTTCCAGAGAAACTGAGATATAGAAATGAAACATTTAGACAACAGTCCCCCAGAAACCAGAACCACAGACATGAGCCACTACAGTTTAGCCAAAATACACACTCATTGCACACCTTCACCTTAAGTCTGATTCTTTTTATTGGGCTAAACCAAAAGTCTTACTTGTTGGTGCTGGAAGTGCCAGTACAACGATGGTTCTGTAAAGTACCTGAAATCTTCCTCATCCTGTAATGTTTTAATTAAGCATTAAAAGTGCTTTTAATTAAGCATTGAAAAGCCAAGTTTTTGTAGCATCAGGTAGAAGCAGATTTACATCACCTGAGATTATATCCTTTTTGTTACACATCTGTGTGTGCACACAGGGGACTCAAGAAGAGGACACTCCATGACTTGGCTCAGGACATGAGCTATGACTGGCTCACCTATGGAGAAGCCTTTGGAAAAGATGTGTGCAAAGGAAGAATTCCTGAGGATGAAGTCTATGCTTCATTGGTCAACCTCTACCTGAGCACCCCTACTAGGACACTGATTCCTATCCAAGTGACTGCAGGTGCTTGTGGGATAAGGAAGCCCCACACTTCAAAAGGGGAAAAAAATAGAAAAAACCACAGGGCACAAGGAAACCTGAAGGAAAGCAAAAGAAGTTCGGGTCAAATGAATTCTGCCAACCTGCTTAGGAAATAAAGCACAGATTTACAAGCAGGTTTTTTTAGAAGTTTGAGTATCTACAGAGTTTTCTTCCTTCAACCTACATGACACTCATATTTACAGCCTGGAGTTGGTTCTTGGTGACCCTGAGGGAGAACAAACAAGGGAGTCCTGCAGGCTGTGACCATGCAATCTTAGGTGGGATGTGAGAAGTGCCTTTTCCACTTCCTGACACGGATAGAAACCCCAGGAGCAGGAGTGGGGGGTTCACAGGAGCACCCCAACTGCACAGCACCCCACAGCCCTGCGGGGCTGCACCAAGACACGTGCCCAGGGGACTTCTTACCTGTAATTTGTCCAAACTTGAGAAGCAACAAGAGCAAGGGCAGAGAGCCACTCCAGCCAGGGCAGCACCCGGCTGCCCTCCAGCACGGTGTTCCCGAGGGAGGTGAGGGTTGCCAAGCCCAGCCCTGCCAGCACAGCCACCACAGCACTGCTCTGCAGCCAGAACCGCTCCACCTGGGACACAACACCACAGAATCCCAGAATTGGGATTGGAAGGCACCTTAAAGTTCATCTCATTCCACCCCCCTGTCACAGGCAGGGACACCTTCCACTAGCCCAGGTTGCTCCAAACCCCATCCAACCTGGCCTTGAACATTTCCAGGGATGGGGCAGCCACAGCTTCTCACAGACCCTATTTCTGTGTCCCCAGAAACAGAATAAGTAGATATATTTTTGTACCTTATGCAGCTTCAAAACAACTATCTGCCCCCTGGTTTTAAGGTTTTTAATGTTTCTGCCGAAAATTAACATGCCAGACCAGTTTTTAGAGTGCAACTCACCACGCCTAGAAACAGAGGCTTTGTAACATCCAAGTTTGCTCTCCAAGCGAAGAAAAGGGAATAAAGGCAAAGCATTCCAGTGAAGAGCCAGATCACAGCTGATTTCTGCTGCCTTGTCCTATAAAAAAAGTAATGTATCACTCCTGAGGCACGATGAAAATCAAAACAGAAGCTACATGTGCTTGAAAACCACCAACTCTTTGCACACCCAAAAGCATTTAATACAAGGAGCTGATGAGCCTTTCTTTACCTTTGCCATTTATAAAACTTCTGTTTTCAAAGCACAAGAACCACGAAGATTTCAGGATATTTAAGCTTGCCACCCACAAAGCCACAGGGTTAACCAGGAGTGTAGGGATATTTTGCTCTCACAAACAGATGACCACAGCCAACTGCTGCAATTTTTGCCCCAGCAAGGAGAAGGTAAAACAAGCTGCCCACAAAGCCAGTGAGAAAGTGAATATCAAAGCAAATATTCTCCTCCTACTTACAGCAGTGCTGTGCTCACACAGGCCACAAGTGCCAGGGCAAGGACGGGAAGGGAGAGCTCCGACTTCATCTGCGCCAGCTGGAAACTGTGGAGAAATTAGTGCATGGATGTGCCACCCCTAATCACCCCTTGCACTCAGGTAAAGTGTCAGGAGAAACTGGGAATAAGCACAACATAACATATTCCAAGTCTTCTGTGATTAAGTTTACCAGAAACGGGAACAAGGCTGGTTTACGTGGCAGGATTTTGAAGGAAAAATCACCGGGGAGGGGATCCAGCATTTCAATGGGAAAACAAACAGGCATGCATGTTGTCCCTGTGACACACACCAGGCCTAGCTCTGGATCAAGACTAGGAAAAGAAGGACAGGAGCCACTTTGGCCAAAATACCAGCAGCAGCAACAGGTTCCTCTCCACTAAAAGGCAAATCAAGATGTTACTCACAGCAGCATCTCTCTCATACTGGATCCTGTCTCGGACTTGGCCTGTATTGAAAAGAAAGAAGCACATGATAAACCTACACACTGACTGAGTATCACTGGGACAAGGAAAGTCTTTCAATTTTCTCTTTGCAAAAAGGCAGCAAGCTCTACTCAAACCTTCATTGCAAGATATTCTCCCACATTCCTGTTTTATGCGACGGGTTTACTTTCTGGATAGGCATTTTTTCAAAGTGCTGACAACGGATTATCCTGGTGATTTGAGCCTGATCTCTGCTATATCATAGAATCATAGAATCATTTAAGTTAGAAAAGTCCTCTGAGATCATCAACCATTAACCCAGCACTGCCAGGTCCACCACTAACCCATGTCCCCAGCTGCTACGTCCACACGGCTTTTAAATCCCTCTAGGGATGGTGATTCCACCACTACCTTGGGCATCCTGTCCCAATGCCTGACACCCTTTCTGTGAAGAAATTTTTCCTAATATCCAATCTAAACCTCTCCTGGCACAACTTGAGGCCACGTCCTGTATCTGCACAGTGCAATTATTTTCTGGGACATCTCCCCACAGCCTGAGAGAAGCTGCAGGCCTCAATTCCTCCTTGCTTAGCAGACTTGCCCCCATCTCCTCTGCCCTGACAGAGCTGTACGAGATCTATATGAGACACATGGGAATTTTTATTGCAGAGACCTGCAAGCTATGGCACAATTCTGGGAAAGAAGACATGCTCAGTGGAGGTGAGGAATTAACCTTCACAGCTGCTTGTTGGAAAAGCGGTGGCTACCAGAAAAAAGATAAGGTAAACAGATTCAGGAGGACTGGAAGGAATACTTAATCTCAATAAAAATGGAATAGTTAATTGCAGTCAGGTTTTAATTAAAAAATAAGTGTTAGAGGATGGAGAGCCAGCTCACAGCTCCTGAAGCCCCACTTTGCTGGCGGCTTCTGGTCCCAGACACATCCCTCGCAAGGAGATGACATTTCTGATCCTTGGCTTACAGGTGGAACCCCCTCCTGAGCATTTTCTGAGGTGATTTTAGACCCTGTCTGCCCTTAAAACAGAGCTACGGGATGCAAGGGCTGGCTGTCCATCCAGGCAGTGCTCTGGAATTAGCCCAGCTGGCACCGGGACCAAACGCTTGGATTTTGCTGTATTTATTGCTCCTGCTTCAGACAAGTTCAAATGTGATTTGTGGTGTAGGATTACACGCAGTCCATCCCTAAGCCTCCTGAACATCAACTTGAATTCATCATATTTGATGGAGAGAGGAGTTAAGGGATTTGCATGCCTTGGTATTGCTCTGCCCAATGGAGTCTTATCCTCGGGAGGCGGCTGGGAATAGGGCAACAGGGGAAATCTCAGAAGTCCTTCAGAGGGTGGATCTTATCTCTGTAGGAGTTTTGGAAAGATTTAGTGGCAGCAGCAGGAATTATCGTGTCTTTTGACACACATCCTACAGCCACACAGCTGTAATAGGACAGTGATGGTGCTCGCTGCATCACGTTGGCTGCATGCAGGGGCTTAACTTCTGAGGATGTGGGGCTTCAAGGAGTGACATAACAAGTAGACCACACCTTTTTATCTTTTTCTTCCCAGTGGTGTCATTTCCCAGCCCTCTGCACCCAAATCTCTGAAGCAGGAGGACAGAAACTGGGGTGATGGGCACGTGCTTTCCTTGGGTGGCCACAGCCAAACATCCAAGTCAGGGCTGGAGGAGGCAGATGCAAACCTTACACTCTGCAAGCAACCATGCAATGATTCCCTTCTTTGGCAAGAGCACAGACCTCAGTAACTCAAATCAGAGGTTCCTGAAACCCCCCCAAACCAACCATTCTTTTAAATTCAGTATTAGTAAGTTAAGAGGAACAATTTTGAAACGAAAGCTGCTTGTGACCTCTTTAAATGTCCGAGTTAAAAATAGAGAAATAAGAAAATATTTGTCTTAAAACAAGAAAACCACCAAATTGATGTCACCATCTCCCTCTAGTTTGCTCTTTGGGCTCTACATACACAAGACACCAGACAGCTCCCAGGAAATAATATGGCTTGCCCCATGAAGGCAAACAGAATTATCTTTCTGCTTTCCCAGCCACATGATCCATTTCCCAGAAAACCTGACAGGTCAGAAGGTCGAAATCAGAAACAAACGCTTAAAAAAATGAAACATTTTCAATTTCTTTCCCCGCGAGCCCTTAATCGTCACAGAGACCAGTTGCATAAGTCAAAAAGAAAGTAATTTAGAAAACGACCCTTATTTACCAGATTGAATGTCCCATATTCTTCCCTGAGAAAGTGGGTCAAAAATCCTTGAAGAGTCGTCTGGTCTCCCCATGTCCAACGGGCTCGACTGAGGTAGGACGAAGCCGGCAGATAGAGATAAGGCAGCAAACCAGCCAAGAAGCATAAACCCAACTTCAGCAAATGGCCTGGGGACAATTCCTGCACCAAAATATGTTATATTGCATAACAATGTTTATTTTAGTTTAATCACGCTGGAACTTCAAGAACAGATAAAGAAAAAACATCAAATATATTTACACAGAGCTGATCTCTCAATTTATAGTAAGTCCCTACAAAATGCTATGTTAAACCTTACGATTTTGTGGATTACTAGGAAACTGCATCAAACTGATCTCCTTTGCATGGCAGGGTGAAATTTAAGTGAAGCAAATAATATTAGCTAGGACTCATGAGTATCATACTCATTGCATCTTTCACATTTAAATCATGGCATGACATGCATAGATGGCTGAAGCACTGCAAGGCTGAGATAACCCACTTTGCAGCGATTAAGAGTTGGCTGGTATTCCATCTGGCAAAAAAAAAAACCCACATAAATGCTGCTCTAGTACAACTACACACATCACCACCATCATCAGGAGTCAGTTTTGCCATTTACTTTATCGCGATTACAGTGGCTAAATTGGATAGGCCAACTTTTGGGGTGGGATTTTCAAGACTGCCTAAGGGGTCAGGAAGACAAGACTTTCAAAGGGACTTCTGTGCCTAACTCCTTTAAGTGCTTTGGAAAATCCCACCCTAGAATATTGCACGCTGGCTTTATCTTTTAGCCACTGCCCTGTCAATCAAAGCACTTCCTCGGCATTTGGGGTTACAGGGAAGAGGCACCAATTCAGAGGGATGATCTACAGAGCAGAAAAAGGAGCTTGATAAGGGTGATGGCCAGATTCTTCAGAAGAAAGATGGTTCATTTTTACTTAAAAAAGGCACTTTTCCCATCAATTATCCTTCTTATTAGGTGGTTTTCTGCAGCAGGCACTACTGGGCTGTCTGAAGCATTTTCCAGGATTATTATATTGGCACAGCATTGTCCTTGCTGGAAATCACAGAGGCCTCTCTGGACCTCCCTGGTTAAAAAAAAAAACACTAAAAATTCTGTTTGAAGAACACAAATATATTGCAGAAGTGAGTCTTCATCGTGTTAAGGGAATTATGTAGCCAGAAAGAGGTTTGTTGGAGATGCTGAACAGATTTTGGATCAGGCTACCCTGAGTTGCACTGCACCTCTTGCAGCTCAAATGCTTCACCCTGTGCCATTACTGAGAACCACACAGGATTTTTCTGGTTAAGGGTGCCCAACTGTCACCTTCAGAGGGACAAAAGAGAGAGGGGGAAGTAGGTGGAGGCTTCCCAGAGCCACTTCCAAAATGGTCAGAGCACCTGCATGGCTGAGACGTGCCACTGTTTCACGGGCAAAGTAGAGTTCCTACAACACATCTGCATCCAGCCTGGTGCACTGACTCACAGAAAACCAGCTACAGTAGAAAAGAGCATGACAGGGTCCCAGGAGAATGGCACCCAGGAGCCTCATCCAAATGGATGCATATCACCTCCAAACACCAGGAATGCAAAAATGTGTTTTCACCTTCAACTTTAATAAAAAGAGGTGTAAAATAAGGGACATCTTGAGAAGGGGACAGATTTGAGGGGATCAAAAGCTTGCTGTTGCAATGAAGGTCAGCCTTTCTTTGGTCCTCTCCAGCTCTTTACCTGAAAGTTGATCTCTTCTAGGACTCTCAAGTCCTGAACACATCAGAGCTGGAGGCCACCAAGCCTGGGACATCCCAAGGGAAGACAAACCTCCATGCCTTTCATGCCATGCTGCTTGTTCTGGCTGCACCTTCAACTACCAACAGCAGTCAGAAGATGCTCTACCATGAGTGGACATGGCTTTTGTTTGTTATCACCAGGGAGCCAACATTCAGAAACTCATCTCCAGGTGAGCTCATGGCAGGAGCAAGCCAGTGTCACTGGCCAGGAGAAGCAGCACACACAGACTGCATATGGCTGTGACTCTCCCCAACAGATATTTATCTCCTCTCCTAGTTGGTAGGTCATTGAACTTGCTCTTATTTCCTACACTCTGAGCAGTTTTTAGCTCCCAGTATTATTTTAGCTTACAGGGTATTTGGAAACAGCTGGGGCAGAGTGTTCCTGTGCCAGGAGACACAAGTGGGTCACGGACTGCTGGCACGAGTAAAGCTCCTAAATTGTGATCACAGAATCACAGTTATTGATAATTTGGGTTGGAAGGGACCTTAAAGATCATCTAGTTCCAACCCCTCTGTACCTTCCACTGTCCCAGGTTGCTCCAAGCCCCATCCAATCTGGCCTTGAACACCTCCAGGGATGGGGCAGCCACAGCTTCTCTGGGCAGCCTTTGCCAGTGCCCCACCACTCTCACAGCCAACAATTTCTTCCTAATATCTAAATCTAAACTTGCCCTACTTCAGTTTAAAGCCATTTCCCCTTGTCCTGTCACTCCATGTCCTTGTCAAAAGTCCCTCTCCAGCCTTTTTGGAGGCCCCCCCTTAAACCAGGCCCCCTTTAGATCAGCGGCTCTGGTGTCAGACAGATGAACTGTAACTTCAGTGGGTTATGACCAACAAGTTCTGACAGACCATTGACTCTCCCTGTTTGCAGATCAACACAGAGGTGGCAACAGTGCTTGGAAAGAAGAATTACCCACTGCTTCAGAAAAAGAGGGTCAGCAAAACACGTACCGAGTTTCTGAAGAGCCGGGCGAGAACCCAAGGCACGATACAAGCGATGTAAAGCACTATCGTGTGCTGATTGCACAGACTGAGCCCACAGCAAAAGGCACCAAGCTTAGAGATCTGAGAGGGGAGAAAAAAACATCCACGATCACTGCTTATGGTTTGCAAAAACACGCAGAGATCAAAAAAGCTTCAGTGCAGCCCATGGCACCCTTAGAAGAGAAAGGCAAATACATCAGCGAGCACTGGTCAATTATAACATGGATAACAGGTTATTTTTGGCTATTTACAGAGAGATTTCATTTGTTTAACAGAAAATACTCTTTAAGAAGTGTCCAGTTTAACTGCTGTGTGTCCATGCACACAGAGATCCCACATAGCATCATCACATCCTAACGATGAGTCCAATCCAATCCCCAAATCCCAGCTGCACCAGGGAGGCTGCACAGGGAGCAGTTAACTCCAAATGGTGCAAATTTTTTTCAGAAGTCATACCCTAAAATAATACCCCTATATACAGAGACCTCATTTTTCATAACAGGAATGATTTTTAACTCTTCTTCAGGCACAGAGGGATAAAGTCAGGGCTACACAAACTTCAGGAATTAAGGCTGATATCCCTCATTCATCTAAAAGATCAATTTCAAGCATCTTCAAAAGAGTTTTATGATAAAACAGGTAACGCATCCAGACTACGGAGCACAGTGCAGGGGATTTCTGATATTCATTGAGGAAGGCTACAAGAACAACTCCATACAGAATCCTTGAGTCAAAGCCACCTACACCACTGCTCCTCCTCTGAATTTGCCTCCTCCTCCACCATCACTGCCCATTGGTCCATGTAACATCATGAAGCCATGCCAAGGGCAGCTCCTCAGTGGGTAAAAAGCCACCAAAGTCCCACAGACAGGAGCAGACAACCCATCCTCGCCTTCCCAGCCAGCCCCAAGGAGGACGGCACTTCCACAGAACCACAGAATATCCTGAGTTGGAAGGAATCCACCAGGATCATCGAGTCCCAACTCCTGGACCTGCACAGGACATCCCCAAAAATCCCACCACGTGCCTGAGAGCACTGTCCAAATACTTCTTGAACTCTGTCAGGGTTGGTGCTGTGAACACTTCCCTGGGGAGCCTGTTCCAGTGCCTGACCACCCTCTGGATGAAGAACCTTTTCCTAATATCCAACTTAAACGTCCCCTGCTTATTTCAGCCACTGGTGAGGGTGGTGTGTGAGATGCAAACACTTGCATTGGTGTAGTGATGGGATCACCCTGTAATTATAAATCAACTGCTCAGCATTCCACGTTGGACGCTGCCTTGTCAAGGAAACACCTGCCATAACTTCAGAAAAACCTTTTCAGAGCTGCCTGGCAGGTCTCTGAACCACCTCAGTGATTTTATAAGTATACTGATGAACCCCAAGCACACCGCTGGAGATGTTTGTATGCACATCTGATTTATGAAAAGCACCATGAGCTTGCTGTTGGCAGCCTGGCTTCTTCGAGGTGTGGGATGCCAGACACCCAAAAAACCACTGAAACAAGTTCCTTAACTGCTTCTGAAAATCTCATTTGAAAATCCCATTGGAAATTGGGCACATGAAACATGGGAGTAGGTTGGAAAATGCCCAACTCCACGTCCGTGGAGTTCAGGTTGTGGGGATCTTGGGGCACTGCTCATTAGAAAATAAAATAAAAAAAAAAAATTCCAGTGGTGAAACAAGGTCTCTGTAACCATTGATAAAACATGTTATTTGAGAACTCACGAAGCTGAGTAAACTACCACTGCAGGCTCCTGAAATTCTAGCCTAGCCTGACAAAAATCCTTTTATTCACACAATTTACAGGAGTCACAGCAGGCAAGTCTGTCGGAGGAAAAGAGATCAGATGTTCAGGCAAACCAAAGTAGAAAGAACAAGACTGCTGAGCAAAAATATCATTTGGCTGCCTACTCTGTTTAGAAAGTAGAGAATAAAGCATGAAATTTAAAGTCTCTGTGTTTAACAATGGCATTATTTTAGGGGCACATTTAATTTCAAAAGAAATATTGATTGAAAATTTGGTTGTTTCTGGTTTTGAGTAGAAATTTGGGGTTCTGATTAGATGAAGTTTTCTGTAAAATACATCTATTTACCCCAAAGAAAAATATCAGTTCTTAAAACAAAACTTTGAGCACCCACAGCCTAGTTTGTGTCTTTGATGCAGGAAGAACTAAAACATTTATATGAAAATGATTTTGCTTCTCATATTTCCACGCCGTGGTATTAAACAAACCAGCCCCAAATGCATCCAACAGGTCCCAACTCAATCTTTAAACAAAGTGTACAGGTTTCTTTCAATGTCTGGCACTCTTGAACATCCAGGTAGGTCAGGAATGGACATCACCCAGCACAGGTACTGAACCAGGTCCCAAAATTTGGCCTTTTTGCTTAAACAAAACTAAACCAGCAATAAACAAATAGGAAATTAAACAGACAGGTGACAATCAAATAACAGAAGATAAAGAACTATTCACTTTGCTTGAGATGTTTTACCTTTGATCTCTCTTTTGCAGTGGATGCCTCCTCAAAATGAGCAGTGAGAGCCATCAGCAGCCCCACAAACAGATTGTTTAAGCTGAAAACCTCCGCCGTGATGGACCACTGCCATGTTAGACGAGAAAATGAAAACACCCCCGCAGCAAGGATTCCTCCAGCATATGAGCCAGAAAGCCTGCAAACACAGATAACATGAAATCTTCTTTTCCAACAAAAAAAAAAAAAGCCTACTTTATTGTCCTTCTTTTTTTTTAAGTTGTTTTTTGGGTTTTTTTTTAAAACATACTGTAGCAGTAGCGACGGCTGCCACCCCGCCAAAACATTATATGGTTAATATCTTCCTAATAATTTCTCTGCCAAAGGATTGCGGTCAGGAAGAGCCAGCCCGTTTGCCAGCCACCCCAACACCAAAGAATTTGCTCCTTGCAAAAGCCACGAAAACTTCCAGAGTGGAATTTGGCCCAGAGTCCCTGACGAGTGATGGCCCGGCGGGTCGGGAGTCACGCCGCTAACGGGATACTCTCCGACGGAGGAGATGCCAGCAAGAGTGCAGTCCTAAATAAAGACTGGATTAGAGTTATTCATGATGGACAGCATTAGCAGAGCTTTCCTGGGGAGGGGGGGAAGGTGTTCAGTGGGTTTGGTGAGGATTGTGGCACCCGTGCTGCCAGAAGGGAGAGGTGCCCACCAGGGTCGGGAGCAAGGAAAATGGGTGTCGGTTCCAGTAAGTGTGAGGGAGTGGGTGAAGCACCCACAGTTGGGATGGCTGTGAGCCCAAAAGCCAGTCATCTCTGCGACTCCCAGATGGGATTATGGCACACATTCCCCACGGAGCTGTTCGGCCAACTCAGTTTGAGGCTGCAGCCGGCATGCAGGGAGCCCACAAGATGGAATTCAGCCCAGGAAACCTATTAGGCCCGTTCCGCAACACTGGCTCTTCCCACCCAGTCCCACTGGGAGCAGCTCCAACTCTGCCTGTCTGAAAGGTCTCCCCCCCGTGAAGTCATCCTGAAAAGATGCCACATAGGGCACAACCAGCTCAGTTAAGCCTTATCCAAAACCAGAAATAGCTGTGGACAAAGCTTCTCTCCAGAAATTCACCATCCCTCTGTAAGACTAAGCCAGTCTCTGCCACAAATTGGGCATTTTCCGGTTCCATCCCAGAGACGCACAATTCCATTTCTTTCTAACATTTCCAGCAGGTTTGAAACAAAACTTATAAGCTACCAAACTTCTTCATCAAGCTACCTGTGTAATTTGGTCCTAAATAGTGGCCATATCCTCTAGGACAGCCAATGTCCCCAGGTGACTTGTTCTACCCAGCGTTGATGGGAGGGGGGATGTCCACACGAGACTTACCCTGACATAGCTCTGACACAAAAGGCAACCAAAGGACACAAAACCTACAGCCCCTAAGAGCAGAAGTGCCCTGCTGGCAGAGTACTCTTTAGCAAGGGTTCCTCTCCTTGGGTAAGCTTTTCTTCCACCTTCCCGAAATGACCTCAGTTCAGACAACCTATTTCAGTAGATGTCAAAGAAGGACAGTCTGAATAGGAATTTTTAATCCATTAAAAATGAGAAGCAGTGTTCGTGAGACCAGGTGTCTAGTCCTCCTCCTGCCATCGACACTGGACATCCTGGGTAGCCTGGGACAAGCCCCTCCGCTGCTTTTGATGAAGTATCTGCAGTTATCTGCAAAATAGGACTAATGATTTTTATTTCCTTTGCAAAGCACTTTGAGATCTGCAGCTGCAGGAGGCAGTTGGAGGGTGAGAAGTAAGGAGTTAACAGTGGGGAAAAAGAAAGTAACTCTGAGGTGTTCAAGGTCAGAGCAAGACAAGCTAAAGGTGGCAGAGAGTTCAACACCAAGACTGTGGGAAGAAGTCTCAAAAAATCAATGGAAGTGGAAAAAAAAACCAGCCTGAAAACTCCCAACTGACAGCAAGTAGGACTGTTTCAGATCAAATGTGAAATCAAGGGGAAATATTCAAGGTCAGGTTGGACAGGCCTTGGAGCAACCTGGTTTAGTGGAAGGTGTCCCTGTCCATGGCAGGGGGTTGGAACGAGATCATCTTTAAAGTCCCTTCCAACCCAAACCATTCTGTGATTCTATGACTCTAAATTTGTGTCTGCAAAGTACAGATTTAAACATTAAACTTTTGAAGAAAGGTGACTTGGAACCTCTTCAGTAGCAAATCAGGTATCTGCTGTCGTGCTCACTAACACATGTCACTGTGGTGGACTCTTCCAACGTCTAAACTTCCCCGTTGTTCAACACAGGTCCAAGTATTTGGTATGAAATTCTCCAAGGCAAGACCCGTCACTCACTGCACTAATATACTGTTTCAAAATCACACAACTGCAAACAGAAAAGGCATTCAGGGGCATGAACACGGCTGTGTTGGTTTTGCTACCAAACCACCCCAGCAGCCCCAAGTCCACCTCCTCTAAGGGAGAAGTGAGACAAACACAACCTGTCTGGTAGAGTTTTCAGCCTCAAGAGCTCTGGCTGTGCCCTCCTCCTCCCTGTCACCAGAAAGATGTGGCACCCAAACAGAAAAGGGAAAGATGCAATGGAGTTTGCAGGAATTGAGTCAGGAGTGGCTTCTGCTCCTAAAGAAAAACACCAGGAAAGGGCAGCAGGGCAATGTACAATTAAAACCCACGAGATTCCCAATACACAAACCCACTACATAACGTTTGGACTAAACTTTTGAAACAATTCAAACTTTCAGTTATAAAGAAACAACTTTGCAAATCCCTTTGAAATTCTTGCAGGGAAAAAAGGTAAAAAAAAAAAGGTAAAACAACCTTCCCAAAAATCTTCGGATGAAAAGCACCATTTTAGGCAAACGCTCCAACCATTCACCAATTCTCCTTGTCTTTCCCAGAAAATACTTAAGCATATCATGAGAGTTCAAATGAGATGAAAGAAATCCCATCCTCTTGATAAAAAGTCTCAAACCTGCAAGTCGAGTTTTATGAAATAAGGCTTAAGCAAAAGCTACTCAACCCAAGCTTAAAGACTTATCCCAGCTATGTGGGACAGAGGACACCTCTGCTCACCGAGCACTGAAGGGTCAGGATCCAAAACTAGGCAGAGTTCACAGACCTGTTTGTCAACAGAGCTGGTGCTGCCTTTAGTTTCATAGAATAATAGAAAGAATCATGGAATGGTTTGGGTTGGAAAGGACATTAAAGATCATCCAGTTCCAATCCCCTGCCATGGGCAGGGACACCTTCCACTAGACCATGTTGCTTCAAGCCCCATCCAAACTGGCCTTGGCCACTTCCAGGGATGAGGCAGCCACAGCTTCTCTGGGCAACCTGTGCCAGGGCCTCACCACCCTCACAGCCAACAATTTCTTCCCAATATCCCACCTAAACTTGCCCTCTGGCAGTAGGACGCCATTCCCTTTGTCCTGTCCGTCCAGGCCCTTGTCCAAAGTCCCTCTCCAGCTCTCCTGGAGCCCCTTTAAGTACTGGAAGCTGCTCTAAGGTCTCCCTGGAGCCTTCTCTTCTCCAGGTTGAACAAGTTTCCTATGAAACTCATGGGAAAGCCAGGCTGTTAAGCTCACTTTGTGACAGTCCATTGCATGCACGGAGCACTAAGCTCCTGTAAGAACACTGGATGTTAAAAAAACAAATGGAAATGTGTTGCATTCCTGAAGAACATCAAGATAACAGCTTTGGGAAGTGGAAGCTGGAGACCAAGAGGTTTTCTGCAGGTTCTGTCAGCAGAAAAGCAAATTATGCATTTGTGAGTTTGCTGATTCAGAAAAAAATCTCTCAGAAGTGGAAGCAACCAGAGCAGGTATCTCCCAAGGTGGATGAAGACCACACGGCAGAAAAACATGCCATGTCCATCAGGTCCACCCAAGGCAACAGCTCACAGTACCAAGTGGCACCAGAAGGACAAGTAGAAATGAATCCCATGATGGTGGGGCCAAATTAAATCAACCCTGCCTCGAGAATGGGGTAACATGGTCATACAGCTCATTTTGCTCGACCTCCATGCACCACTGCCTCTGCCATCTGGCAGCCTCTTGGATGTCTCCAGCATGAAGTGACACTGTGATGACCTCAAATGCACACACTGCCCAAGGAGGTGACAAAAAATCTCAGGCATGGACAACACAGGTCAGCCACCTACACCACTGTGGAACAAAGAACAGCCTCAAGGTGGGAAAGACACTGACGGGTGTATAGTGAAGGAGGGCAGAGTGAGATGCAAAAACTCGCTGGAAAAGGCATAAAAATGTGAGTAAAACAGAGATGGGAAGAACTGAAAGTGCAAAGGGATGGGGCAGAGTTCTGGAACTGAGGTCAGGAAGCTTAAAGCCAAGAATTTTTTTCCTCATCCCTGGCAGTGTTCCAGATCAGGTTGGATGGGGCTTGGAGCAACCTGGTCTAGTGGAAGGTGTCCCTGTCCATGGTAGGGGGGTTGGAACAAGATGATCTTTAAGGTCCCTTCTAACTCAAGCCATTCTGTGACTCTGTGATTCTACAAAAAGGATGAAAAGCTTTGCAAAGCAGGACAGTGCAATCTACAACCGCAGATGCTGGAAGCAGGACATTCGGGAGCCAGAAGATGGTGGTTGCTTCAATTACAGGCACAGGCAGCACTTCTGTGGTTAAGACACAGTATGTTGTAGAAGATTAACACAAGAGGTAAAGGAGACTTCCCATAACTCCAGCAAGAGTTCAACTACCCAACTACCAGTGTTGAGATGGAGAGGGAATAAGACCAGCACGCCGTTTGTTGTGTGGAAGGCAGGAGGGGGTTTTCTCATGGCACGTGGTCACATTCTTACCGAAATCAAACACCACAACTCACAATGACAATGTAAATATTTCCTGCAGTGAAGCCCTGCTGGACAAGAAGGAATCACAGAGCCTTCAGGCTCTGCCACCCAGCCTGGAGACCCACACTCTTCCATCTACATTGGCTGGAGGTTTGCAGGTGTACCGTGGTCAGAAGAAGGAAATAGTTGGGTTTTTTCCTGAAAATACTTTTTAATTGCTTAACACTGTCTCTCCTTTTGATAGCACATCAGGGTTCCGGAGCAGAGAGCAGCAGAGACTTATCCTCACTCAACTTCTACTCATGCTTTTGCCTTTGAACACATTTTTCAAACTGAGTTGAGGTGCCACAAAAAACATGGCGAAGGCCCA